CTCGGCGGGCCGGATAAATGTCCTCGGCGGGCCGCATGTGGCCCGTGGGTCGTAGTTTGAGGACCCCTGACTAGTCTTTCTGCCCGCGTTTTAGTTGTGTGTCTATCTGCCTTTCCCTTTCTCTGTGTATGTTTGTTCCTGACTGGCTTCCATTTGTCAACTTAATGCTATTTCAGTCCTGTTTTAGGATGCTTGAAGCCCAGCTTCTAATAAAAATGTCAGCAGCCAACATTTACTGCTCCCCTACTACGTGCCTTGCCAGTCAGTTTGCAACCATAATCTCTAGTTCTCAGAATAATCCTCAAGGGAAGGGTGTATTTTCTTAATTTAACAGAAAAGGAAACCGAGGCTTAGCGATGGTAAGTGACCCGCCCAACATCACACAATGTCTAACACAGGGTTTGGCACAGAAGAGGCCCTCGATAAATATTTGTTGAATTAATGTTGAAAGAATCAGACCTCAGACCCAGGTCCAGCCGCCTCCAAAGCCCTGTCTTCTTTCCACACGCCGCACCACACCCCCTGCGAGGCCACAGGTTTGGTTTATGAAAGCCCGCGTGCTTCCGAGAGGCCCTACGTTACATCAGCCACACTCAACACCCAGGAAGATGTCAGTGACGGCACGTGGGCGCCACTGACACCCGATCGGGCGCCCAAGACGCACATCCAGAAAGGAAAGGCGCTGAGTGTGGGCCCTGCCCGGGGTACCCCGCTAGAGCCACAGTGGCTCCGGGAGCCCCGGCCAAGGACTGGCACTCCAGCTTTTTAGATGCCGCCGCCCGGGTTCAGCAGCATGAAAACTCATCTGAGCATTTGAAAGCCCGCGGTGGCGCAGCGTGGCACTGTTTGGGAAGGGCACGGGTTCCCCAGCTCTTCCCTGCCACCAGTCAGCCTGACTGTAAAGGAGTCCCTTAACTTCACTGGTCATCAGTCTCCTCCTCTGGAGCATCAGCTGTAGCCAGAGGATTGGGGAAGTCTCTTCAAGCTATAAAAAGGAAAAACAACAGAGAGCCTTCCTATCCGAGCTCATTGTTCTCGCTTTTTCCCCAGGGTAATAGGCATGGAGAAGTTAAGGATCTTGTTTTACATCACCCGATGATTTAGTGAGGCAAGACAAATTAAAAACAGATTTTAAAACGCCAAGTGCCTCACCACCCTGCTTAGAGCATTAATCACACACACCCTGGTGCCTGTTCTCATAGCGCACTGTGTCCTCATGTCAGTTCTGTGACCCACTTAGCACACGTGAAGCAGAGAGGAGCTGGGCTCTTGGAAAGGTGCTCGTACCTCGTTGTGTCACCCCGTCGCCCGGCTCGTGCACCCCAGAAGGACAGGGCATCCTTCACAGAGCTCGGCGCCTGGAAGGACAGCTTGGTTTCTAGAGAGGAGGCTGGCACTCACGCGCAGCTCACGGGCACTACAGCTGTGCAGGTGGCTATGTGTGCACACGAAGCACACGCCTGGTTCATGGTAGAGCATGGCCCAGTAGCCCTTTGGGCACGTCTTCCCCCATGTCCCCTCTCCCATCCCTGGCCATCCTGGATGGCGGTCAGTGTTTCCCAAGCTGCGTCATCCGAGGGACCCCACTCATGCCTTTGCACCTCCACTCTGTCCTCTGAAAACTCAGGCTGTTACAGTCACTAGGCCCTGGCCACGGATTCCGAGCCTGTGCGTCTAACCCAGAAGGAGCGCTCGTGGGCCATGACCCTGCACCTCTTGGAAGGGGCACAGTTTTAAATTCCTGGCCATGAGGCCACCCTCCCAAAGGGTAGGCAGGCCAGGATTACGCTCCATGCTCTCCAACGCCGTGCTGGCCAGCACAGGGTAGCCGGCAGCAGCAGGTGCTCCTTGGGGCTCCCACTAGCCTGTCTTATGCCACCAACCGCTCTCTGCCTGGCCTTATCATGTGGACACACATTTTTCTCATGGTTTCTTCTTTTTCACTGTGGTGAAAATATATACAACAAAACATCCGCCCATCCAGCGATTTCTCCGTGTAAAAGCCAGTGGCATGGATTCCTTCCTTCACTCTGTCCAGCCGCTGCTGCTGTCCTAGTCTGTGAGGGTCCATCTGGGCTCTGCTACTGACGGGGGACTCCTGGTGTGGCAGTCCTTGGGGCTGCCGGCCCGTGCCCTTGCCAGGCCGGTCAAATCCTCCAAAATGCATGAAATGGCTGAGTGCCTTTCTCATCAAATCACAGGACTTTGTCTCACCCCTTGGGCCTGCTTTGGACACAGTGCCTTCACCCCAGGACTGGAACTTGTGAGCTGCTAGCACGTGTGCTGTGTCTGCCCCCCACCCCACCCCCCGCCCCCCAAGCACATGGCCTGGACCCTTGATTGCAGGTGTAAGAAAGGAGGGCACTGGAAAAGTGGGGAGGGTGTTCTTGGGGACAGTACCGTTCTCTGATCCCTTGAGGATGTGGGGTTCACTTCTCTGTTCTGTATTCAGCCCAAGGGGGCCAGCAGTGGGCAGAGCCCGTTCCCTGGTGCTCTGCATGGCGGCTGCCCCGCTCTCCCACATCTAGCTTTCTCCTGGGAGATTAAGGAGCACCCTCTAAGGAAGTGAGCTCACCTACGGGCCCTTTCTCACAGCCCTGCCTTTTCCAGGCTTCCAGGCCCCCTCCCTTACATTCTGAACAAAAAAGGTCAGGTTTTCTTGTTCAAAGTATGGCTGTGACCAGAGGCCTGGAATCGGTGTGTAGGGTGAGGGCAAGGAGGGAGGGGAAAATCACAGACCATATTTTCCAGGCCCGATGTCTGGAAACCATTGGTTTGTCAAACCTGAAAGAATGAGCCAGCATTTCTGAAACCAGGAGTAGAAAATGCAAGCTGTCTGAAGGCCTGACTGGCGGCAGGCTGTGCATAGGAACCCTGCAGTTATCTGGGTGCGGTCTCTCTCTTCTTTTCCATCACTTCTCTCACAGCCTCTTCCACGGTCAAGTGAATATATACCAAAGCTGCCCATTTGGGGCGTTGCTCCTTCAAGAGAACCCTTGGCGCATGCCAACCAAATGCTGCCCAGGCGTGAGTTGGAGGAGGCGATGGGGGTATGTATGCCAGCCAACACTCCTTGCTCAACCCTTCTTTAAAGGGCCCGGCCCCCCTGAGGCTACTGAGGGCAGTGTGAAGATCATGAGGATGGGGATGGAGACAGGCACTGCACTGTTCTAGCCCTTTCACGTGATCGGCTCACTTAGTGCTCGCAGTACGAGGGAGGCAGGGAGGCAGCAGGGATGGGACCCGACGGTGGTACCCAATACCAGACCAAACTCACTGCCATCGAGTCAGTTCTGATTCACAGAAAGCCTGCAGGGCAGCGTAGAACTGCTCCTATGGTTTCCAAGACGGCAACTCTTTACGGGAGAAGAAAGCCCGGGTTTTCTCCTGAGGAGAGGCTGGTGGTTTTGAACTGCTGACCTTGTGGTTAGTGGCCCAGTGGGTAATCACTGCACCCCCAGGGCGTCTATGATACTCAATAGAGCATTGATAAATAAGTGCTCTTGTTGCCCCCGCCCTCCCCCTGTCTCAATGTTGCTTGCCTTGCTTCGCTTTCTGAGGTAGCCTTGGCCAAGAAACCAAGTGGTGGCCACCTTGACCCAGCTGCAGCTCAGAGCGCTGAGAAGCCCAAACTCATCAAAGTCACAACAGGATAGTGGGAGGTTTGAACTACGATTCCCGAGGAGGATTTTATGTCCCTCCCAGAACCCTGTCCTCATCACTAACAGGGGCTGGGGTGTCAGCTGGTAAACCAGCACCTCCTCCGACAGGGAAAGTTTTGATTACTAGTATTAGCGCTTGCTGATTTCCATAGAGTAAATATTTCTATCCTGGCTGATTTTAAGCTACTAATGATTTTTTTTTAGACTAGAAAAATTTATGACTATTTAACAGGTGCCCTTGCAAGCTGGCCTTGGTATCCCCAATCTTCCTGTCCGGAAGCCCTCACCTTGGAGAGTCACTGTGAGCAACCAGGCAGCTCTCCGTCCCTCCAGGCTAAGATACAAACATTCATAACAGGCCTTTCTATTTGCCTTGGACCCAAACCAGCCTGCAACATGGCCGAGTAAAATGTGATTAAGGCCCCAGTTGGGCTGCCAGATGTAGCAACGAATAAAAACAGGCAGCCCAGGTACATTTGTGTTTTAAATAAAGCAACCATTGTTGTTTTAGTCTACCCCCCAAAACAAAACAAACCCACTGTTACCCGATCAATTCTGGCTCGAATGACCCCATAGGACAGAGTAAAATTGCCTCGCGGAGTGTCTGAGGCTATAAGTCCTTATGGAAGTCGTCCGCCTCATCTTTCTCTCACAGCGCGGTGGGTGGGCTCAAACTGCCAGCCTTTAGTTAGGAGCCCAAGGCTTAACCCACTGCAACACCAGTGATCCTTGTCTGGTGAGTGTTGGACAGTTAGCCTGAAGGCCAGTGGCTCAAACCCCCCAGCTGCTCCTTGGGAGAGCCATCTGCTCCTATACAGATTGGCAGTCATACAAGCTGCATACAGGATCGCTACGAATTGATCAACTCGAAGGCTGTGGTTTGGCTTAGGAAGTCCTGAATGTTACACGGGATGCGCGTATATTCAAATAGTTGCTTGTGGTTTACCTGCCAGTCAAGCTTGACTCGGAGTCATATGTTTTATCTGGCAACCCGAGCCCCCAGAAAATCCTCGTGGACTGCTCGTGGTGATGAGAGGGTGGCAGTGACCTGGGAGCTGGCCACGTGTGCCCCGCTGGCCACTGTTGAAACGAGAAGAGCGGTGGTGCCACGGTTTAGAGACTCTGCAAGGGGAAAAGCACGCGGCATCCGCCCAGCACTTTCATTTTCCGCAGGGAGCCCGGGGCCCGGAGGGGACTTGTTCAAGGCCATTCACTCAGCTAATAGCAGTGCGGAGTCTCCGAACTCCAACCTCCCTGCCACTGAGTCCAGGCCGGCTCAGAGCGACCCCTCTGGGATTCCGAGACTGAGACTGTTCGTGGGAGTAGGAAGCCCAGTCGTTCTCCTGCACAGCTGCAGGTGGTTTCGAACTGTGGATCGTGTGGGTGGATCGCAGCCCAACGCATAACCACCACCCCACCAGGGTTCCCCAGCACGGAGACTAGAACTGCAGACCCCCACAGAGTCGCCTGTAAGAATTGGTTAGATTTGGGGGTTAAGAGCAGACTGTAGCCATTCAAATTCGGACTCTGGCATTTACTAATTCCTCAACGCGAGCTTTTACCTTTCTGGTCTTGTCTTCATCTTCTAAATGGGGATTGGATGAGTCCGTGCTACATTTGAAGTAGTTAGAGCATCGTGGGGCCCACTATGAGCCTTCAGTCCATTGGTCCTTTGCCTACTTGCTTCCCCGTTGCCTCGGGAATCTGTACCCCCATGCTGGTCCCGGGATGCCCCTGGGCTTGGCCTTGTTTTTTCTCCCTCTTTGCCTCTGGTTCCCTGCCAGCCAACCCTACTTTTGTTCACCGGGGCCACCATCTACTATTAAAATCAGCTTGAATCAGGCTCAAAGGATTCATACTACCCTGAAAATCCCACACAGAAGAACCTGTTAAGAACTTATGGCCCTACCCCTTCACATGCAACTGTCCCCCCCCTGCCACGGCCAGACTGGCAAGTTCTTGAAGACGCACTGACGGTCCCCAGGCAGCAGTCGGGATGGTGGCGAGAGGAAGAGCCTGAGTGGCAGACTTTGGAGACAGCAAGTTCTGGAGTCCAGTTGCCTGGACTTACGTCTGAACGTCACCACTTCCTACTACGGACCCCACGTCTCTGGGCCTCCCATTCCCTCAAGTGAACTGACAGTGGTTCCCCTGCAAGAGACCCGGGTGAGGAGGACGCGTTGCCCCCATCATGCACTTAGCACTGGGTTCACCTTCTACCACTTTCCATCAGTGAGACCTTGGGAAATGCTCCCTTGTGCCTCAGTGGCTCCCATCTAGTAGACCCCTGGTCGTGGGCTGAGGGCAAGGCTTAAACGAGAAGCTTTGGAAAGCTCCCAGGAAACTCTGGGGACAGTGAGGCATCCTAACCATTTCATGCCACCGGCCTGACCAACATCTGTCAACACGTGGCTTCTCCCCGGGCACTGCCATGGCAAAAGGGGCTGAGATCCTAATCACCTGCCACCACAGGGACGGGCGGGCTCAGAAGGTAAGCTTTTGTTTTTCAACACCGACAGCCCCACATCACCTTGCTCTGGAGCCCCACGAGCTGGCCTCTCTTTGTCTGAGAGTTAGAAATGGTCTTGTTTGGGATGAAGGTTGTTTTTGTTTCATTTTGCTTTATAAACAGAGACACTCCCCAATTTCTGTTCTGAAAGGCTGAGGAGGAAGCTGAGTCAGGTGGGGTGCGGCTACCATGAAATCAGCCACCCTTCCCTGGCCGTGGGTTGGGTTTGGCTTACCCACCAATATGCTTTGACTTGTGTACCAGCCGTGTCCAGCATCCCATTTTATGCGCATTTCTCTCATGGCGTGAGCAGCACCAGCCTTCCTATGGAATGTGGCTCCCTCAGCATACAGAGCATGGCTGTGGCAGTCTCAGGCCCGGGGTGGGATTCCAGCCCAGTGCTAGGTGACCGAGACCATGGTTGGGAAAGTTCGGAAGTGGTGGAGTCAGGCAGTCGTTCCTGAAAGTGGAGCTGGTGCCCATCCTGCGCTTAACAGCGAGGCTTAGTGTCAATAAGGCATAAGGCATGTAGAACAGCACAAGAGAATTGCCTGTATCCCAACACTGCCGCCTTCTCCTCCCTTTCAGAATGATACCCCTGGACCTGGCTTCTACAACGTCATTCATCAATCTCCAGTGTTCAACAGTGTCTCCTTGTCCAAAAAGGGGACTTGCATGTTTCCGTCTATGGTGAGCACCCTTCTCTTGGGTCAGGGTGTTGACTGATCAGTAAATGTCTTCATTCATTGGCCGTCTGGGTCCTGCTCTGTAATTAGTAGAGTAACCACCTCCTCAGATTTCATGCAGGTCACCTGGGCGCTTAAGTAATTTTCTTCCCACCACCAAATAGTACCAGAGTGGGAAGCAAAGGTAGAGGCATATTTAGAGCTGGACCCTCCCAAGCCCCATCCTGTCATCCCTGAGTGGACTAAGCAAAGGTTTGCCTGAGATTTTTTTGGCCTAGCGGGAAATGAATGGTACCCTTACACATCTCGTAGACTTAGGCCAAGAATACTCTTTACTTGGATATTTCTAAATTGGGCAGAAAGAGAGCTGGAGCAAGGGAGGAGAGTCCAGCTAGGACTAGGGTAGCAGTGGTCGGACAGTGACCACGAAAGTGAGCCCAGCAGGACACTCAAAACTCACAACAACACACATCTGCTTTGCTGCCCCTGGAAAAGGTCTATTAACCGCCTGCAAATGTTTGTTATCATGCCTGACATTGGTATTGCTTTTTTAAAGAAAACGACACCAAGGGACCATTTAAGATACACTAAATGCAGCCACGCGTTGGAATTCAGGTTTGGCAGAGATGAATATTCCGGGCGCAAGCTCACCTTGGAGTTACCTCCCCATCACCAAAGAAGTTGTGGGGACACATGCCCACATAAGTGCACAGAGCCGCCACACCTCTGCCTGCTTCCCTGCCCCAAGTGCTGTGGTAAAGAGACTCGGCAGCAGCAGAAGTCTTGGCACAGGAGACCAGAACTGAGACCTAACCCTGACTCAGCTGTCGCTTCTCGGGGCGACCTCAAGTACGTCACCCTTCTGTGTGCCGATTGCCTCATAAAACATGGAGACTCCCTGGAGGCACTGGGCAAACGTACGCGGCAATGGGTGAAATGCTCTTTGAAACTGCAAAGCATTATATACATGCTAAATATTATGATTGTTACCACCTGACTCACATAGACTACTTCCTGAACCACCTAGGTTTTCGCTCCAAGAACGGCTTTGCCAAATACCGGCGTTGCCCATCCCTGCTTGGTGCCAAAGAAAAGGACTGAATCATAGCACACAATCAAGTCACTGCTCAACTGTACGTGCGGTGACTTCCCAAATGCCCTTGTTCAGCACAAGGCCGGGCCGTCTAGGCAAGAAGCCCGGAGCCTAACCAGACCTTCCAGGCCCTTAAACATTCAGACCAAACCGAAGAGAAGGTAGGCAGGGAGTTCTTGACATTCCCTTCTGCTGCCTTCTGTTGACGCGTGGAGTCACCTTTATATTTATAGGAACGCCTCGACTCCTGTGTCCTTGGGCAGAAGCCATAAGTGGTTGGTGGAACTCTGCCCGGAGACTCCCATCTCTTACCTCACCCCTTTTCTGAACTGGATGTGAATTTCATCTCGTCCTTCCTCTCCAAGTGACTTTCACGTTGAGTACCACCCCCGCTTTATGTGCTAGCCTATGAAGGAATCAGAAGGAGCCCTTGTCTGAGACCCCCTACATTCCCAGCACGGGTGTGACCTGGCGTGTGGTGGGTGAGGCTGGTCAGAACCCTCTGTGCATCTATGTGTTTTAGAAACTTCCTGATGACTGCTAGAGCAAATACACCCAACCATTTGAGAGGACCTGTCATCTCTCTCAGTCACATGACACAATAAAGAGCTTCCTCCATGACATCCGAATCATTGTCCAGAATGATTCCCACGACTGACTGGGAAGTTAAGTGGGTCCGTGGAGAGGAGACGCCGAGGGCCTTTCTGTGTCTGCATGGTGACAGAAGGGGCGGCACTCCAACAGGTAGTATGTGCTGGGGGCAGGCTCCTAGGTGCTGCCATGGGGTCAGATTGGAGACCACAGGCTTGGCTGGAAAAAGAAAGCCAAGGGGGGTCATGGATTCGTGAGTGCTACTTTAGCTAGACTCAGAGACTAGATCTATTGTGATTATAATGCTTCATGAAGCTTGGTCTCAATTGGGAATATTTTAGAGCAGTGTTGCCTCAAATCTGTTAGCAGGTGCTAACATAGATTCTGTGGCCTTAAAAGCTTAGGAAAGGCTGGTTAAACCAAGTTAAAACAGATTTCATTATTGTAGAACTTAGATCATTTAATTAATACACAGCGCATGTTATGAATCCTCCCAGTGAGCACATGGTGTGAGAGCTCTCCAAATATACTTGACTCTGGGACTCTTTCTTTGTGGCCTCTACTGCACCAGCACCTTACTGAGCTGGCAGCACGCTAGAAAACGTGCTTGCCCACCCTGCTGTGTGATGTAGGACAGGCATGCAGGAAGTAGCTCTGCCAAGGAGAGGTTGACCTTGGCACCTTTAATCTTCTGTGGAATTACGAGGAAAGAGCATAGGCAAAGCGTACACACTGGTCTAAGGAGAGAGAGGGCGGTAGTTCTTATTGAACGATAACCTCCCACAGCCATTTGTCAGATGCGCTTCCTATAAGTGAAAGCACATACTGTCCCTACTGGGCCACCATGCCTCTCAACGTAGTCCTGTTTAAACGGCAATCGGGGATCTTCTCATTTCACTTATAGGCCTGCACAAAACCCCAAACTTGCTGCCATCAAGTCAAATCTGTTTAGCGACCCTATAGGACGGGAAGAACTGCTCCTGTGGGTTCCCAAGACGGTATCTCTTTATGGGAGTAGAAAGCCTCATTTTTCTCCAGAAGAGTGGCTGGTGGTTTGAAACTGCTGACCTTGTGGTTAGCAGCCTCATGTGCAACCCACTACGTCACCAGGGCTCCGACATGTATGCATACGCAGAGCTGTTGCAGATTTGGCACCAGATCACTGCAATAAAGCAAATCGCACGAACCTTTGTTGCCTATCAAAGTCATGTTTACACTATACTGTAGTTGAATAAGGGTGCAAGAAATAGCATCATGAAGCAGTTTGCAATATCGTGAGAATGACCCAAAGTGGCACAGACACACAAAGGGCGCACGTGCGCTTGGGAGGATGGTGCCCGGAGACCTGATCTCTGCAACAGTCACAGAGCTTGGCTTGGAGTTGGAAATGCAGTGTCTGTGGAGCACAATAAAACGGAGTGGGGTCAGAATGTGGGCTCCACCGTTCAACGAGCAGAGAACATTCAGTTCCCTCAAATGTAAAATGGTATCATAATATCACTCAGGATGATCTGCAGCTCCCTAGAAGAACTCGTTGGCATTCCACCATTCCAGGAGGTGGCATAGAGCATGAATCAGGGGTGCTGAAGGATGAAATTCAAGCTGCTCTGAAAGCATGAGCCCAAACCCCAATCCACTGCCATTGAGTCGATGTCAACTGACGACCACCCATAAAATTTCCTTGTGAGTTTCTGAGACTGTAACTGTTTACCGGAGTAGAATGCCCTGTGTTTTAGGATCACAGCCTGTGTTAGTCTGGGTAAACTAGGGAAACAAATCCACAGAAACTCACATGAATAAGAGAGAGTTTTATATAAAGGGTGAGTGTACATTAAGAAAGCATCCCAACCCAGTGCTGTCCAAGCCCATAAGTTCGACATTAGCCCATATGTATGACACCATCTGCCAAGTCCTCCTCAATCTCACAAAACACAACAATGATGCTGACTGCAGGAGGAGAGCCGAGTTAGTGAGCGTGTAAGCATCTCAGCACTGGCAGGGGTCTCCACACAGCTGCTCCAGCACCCAGGGCTGCATCAGGGTAGGTCCATGTGGCTTCTCCTCAGGGATGTCTTGTAGGAAGTGAGCCTTGCCAGCTGAAGCAGGGAACTGGCTAAGGCAGCTGCACCCTGGTCCGACCATCAGAAAGCAAGAGACCCAAGACCCTGAAAGGTGAGGCTCACCGGGCCATTTATCTCTCTGCCCTTCATTTAATCCCACATGTGTTTATAGGCCATGTCGGCACAATAAACCTTAACTATCTCACAGTCTGATGCACAATAACCGTAGTGCCACCAGGACTCTGCTAGCCAAAAACAAAGACCCAGGAATGGACGGAACACCAATTGAAATGTTCAAACCAGCTGATTGGGGGCCTGGAAGCACTCATTCATCTATGCCAGGAAATTTGGAAAACAGCTCCTTGGCCAACTGACTGGAAGAGATCCACATTTATACCAAAGAAAAGTGACTCAACAGGATGCATAACTTATAGAGCACTGTCATTAGTATCCCATGCACATAAATTTTTGCATAAGACATTCCAACAATGGTTGCAGCAGTCCATTAACAGGAAATGCCCAGAGGTTCAGGATGGATTCAGAAGAACACACGGAACAAGGGGCATCGCTGCTGATGTCGGATAGATCGTGGCTGTAAGCAGAGAACACCAGAAAGATGTTTGTTTGTGTTTTAACGACTATATCAAGGTATTTGACTGTGTGGACCCAAACAAACTATGGATCCACACTCGCTGCTCATGGCAGCGGCAGTCAAGGGATCAGAAGACATGTTGCATTAGGTAAATCTGCCGCATGAGACCTCTTTCGAGTATTGAAAAGTAAGAATACTACTTTGAGACCTAAGGTGTGCCTGACCGAAGCCATGGTATCTTCAGCTGCCTCATATGCGTGTGAAGCTTGGACATTGGATAAAGAAGAGCAAAGAAGAGTGGATGCATTGGGATCGTGGAGAAGAGCACGGAAAGTACTGTGGACTGTTAGAAGGACAAACTGATCTGTCTTGGAAGAAGCAGCCAGAGTGCCCCGTAGAGGCAAAGACGTCCTCTTACACACTTTGGACATGTTGTCAGGAGACCAGTCCCCGGGGAAGGACCTCCTGTTTGGTAGGTGTCCGTACAAAAGAGGAAGGGCCTCCAGGAGATGGGTTGATGCCATGGCTGCAACAGTGGGCTGAAGCATAGGAACAACGGTGAGGCTGGTGCAGGACCGGGCCGTGGTTTCGTTCTGTTGTGCATAAAATAAGGTCACTATGGGTTGGGACCGGCTCGTTGGCACCTAACAAGAATTCCATGAAAGACAGTTGCTTAAGTGTTGGCCAAGATGCAAAGTGACACTGGACTGACCTTACGCCTGGGGGCATCAGTGGGTGCTTAGCCAGTGCTGCCCAAGCCCACATGTCCAACACTAACCCATAGGTCTGCCATCAATCCACAAAGTCCTCCCCCATCTCACAAAACAGACGCAATGATGCCGACTGCAGGGGGAAAGCCGAGTCAGTGAGTGGGTAATCGCCTTAACACTGGAGGGAGTCACCACACGGCTTCTCCAGCACTCAGGGCTGCTGGAAGTCAGGAAGAGGCAGAGGCGGGGCTCAAACCTAGGTTAGACTCTGATCAACTGGGGCTCTGGTCAATATCACTGCTGCACACCAATGGGGGCCCAGGTACCATGTGTTGAGAATCACTGTCACCAAGTTCAGAGTGAAGTAGGGAAGCCATAGCCAGCAACCCTTTTCAAGCAGAGACACTCCAGGCAACTTTTGACCATAAATTCATGGGCACCTGCTACTTTTTTTTTTCAATCAGACTCTAATTCTTGCCATACTATCTTAGGTAAAGTGATGTTATCACCTAGTTTCTATGGCCTTTGTCCCTTTTTGTTTGGCAAACATTGATTCTACTTGGGTTTTTTTAAAACTGAAAATAGTTTATCACGGCTTCCTGAAAGTAGTGGGATTGGTTCTGTTAAGCAGCAAGCATATTCTAGGGTTTTATGAACACAGTAAATGAGGTGGGAGGTAGGAGGTATGGGTGGACAGTAAACTCCGCGGACCCTTGTCCCTTTGTGTGTGAAGCAAACTCGCTGTTTAGGAAGCTGAGATCCTTTAACCTTAGCATCGAGATGTGAGGTTTGACTCAGAAGAGGAGCCTAGCTTGTGGGATGCGGTGGGGATGGGAGTCTCAATCTTCCCACCAGCCGGTGAGTCAGCTGTCAGTGGCCCGGACAAGGATGGGGTAGGAGAGCATTTATAGCAAACTTATTTTTGCCAGGTCCCACACAGAAGATGAATACATTGAGCTAGTTTACAGAAATAGAAGCAGGTCTGAACTCGCATCTTCTAAGAACAGCTCCTCAAAACTCGAAAGCAGCTTATCCTTGCTACCTGCTGGGATTTCAGATTTTGTCAAATGTTTTCAGACCTGGAGCTGAGCGCCCTCTTTCTGACACCTGTCCTTCAAAGCCACGAGAGTCTACAACAATGCTGATTCCTTTGTCTTTCTGCTTCCAGGGCACCCGCATGAGCAGCACCACCTCTAAGTATCCTGCAGCAAATGCCTACTCAATCCCGTCGTATATTTTTTCAAAGAAAGACTTCAGCAATACCTGTTCCAGCATGTTCCAATTGCCACACTTTGCCAAAGTTCTCAAATTTGAAACTCCTGCCCCAAACCATTACAATGTAAGAACACCGCGTGCACTCACTCAACATACAAGTATGTTGAAGGAATGATTTACTAAAAGAAGAAAGGAGGAGAGGGTTGGGAAATAGAGTTTTAAAGCCATTAGTAAATCCGTTAGCAATTATTAACTACCCAGTGGGTCCGTGAAACGTTGTAAGATTCTTAGAGGGAGTGTGCAGAACCCAGAGAGAAGCAGTGGGAAGACCACTATCCCAAGACATACTTAAGCTAATCACTCTTCTTCTGGTAGCATAGTGGGTTAAGTGTAGGGTTGCTGGCTCAAGGTCGCTGGTTCAAGCCGACTAGTCACTCCGAGGGAAAAAGACAGGGATGTCTGTTCCTGTGAAGATTTAGTCTCAGAAACCCTACGGAGCAGTTCAAGGCTGTCAAATGGGCTCACCGTGTGTCAGAATGGACTCAATAGTGGTGAGTGGGTAGGCCTCTCATCAACCCTTTCTGGGGCAGTTTTTCATCTACAATAGGGGGTATATTATTAACTGCAGACACTATCCATTTACTTGGTAGATACTCAGGGAGAAAAGGAGCTTTATCTTTCCATATCAGACATTTATATAAATAACTATGTATATGCATGTATATATTTGTGTATATATATGCATCTATGTATTTTTTCACAGTAGTGCTCTACCAGTTAACAAGTGCTTTGCTTTCACCGTGGCAGAATAATATACATAATGGGAAAGAGATTGCTACAAGGAGGTTTGGTTCCAATCTTGGCTTTGTTACTATTTAATTGTGTGGCCTTGGGCAAGTCCCTTAACCTTTCCGGAACTCAGCTTATTGATCTATTCCATGAGGTTACATGTCTTCCTCATGTTACTGATATAAGTGTTAAGTGAGATCATTTAGTCTGAGTGCTTAGGTAGTTCTCGCTGGTAAACCGATTGAATCCATCAGAGAAGGCGGGCAGACTCATGGTCGTCATAGACTGCAAAACTTAAGAACTGCTCATAAATGGACCCAGGTGGGACTGTCTTTGAGCAAGTCCTTTGACCTCTTGAGCCTCGATTGTAAGATGGAATTAATACTACTTGCCCTGTCAGGGGCATTATAAGAAGCATATGAGATCAGGAGTATGAAGGCACCTGACATGCATAAGATATTACTTATACACAGGTGTTATTATTATCACGTCATATTTTGGGTTATTTTGGTTTGGGAATACTTACATTTCCATATTTTAAAAAATCGTTTTATTGGGTGCTCATGCAAGTCTTATCACAATCCATACATCCATCCATTGTGTCAAGCACATTTGGGCATTCGTTGCCCTCATCATTCTCAAAACATTTGCTCTCCACTTAAGCCCTTGGTTTTCCATTTGTTTTTATAATATCCTGAAGACATATTTATTTTTATGGCTACCAAGAGTCTGCCCACCTTCTCTGATGGCTTCCATCAGTTTTGCACAAAGTAGTATTGGTGCTTACAAGACCAGCACGCTACTCCCATACTCTACTCCCGTACTCTACTCCTGTACTCCGCTCCCATACTCTACTCCCATACTCTACTCTATTCCCATACTCTACTCCCATACATACTCCCATACTCTACTCCCATAAATACTCTACTCCCATACTCTACTCCCATAGTTACTCTACTCCCATAGAGTTACTCTACTCCCATAGAGTTACTCTACTCCCATACTCTACTCCCATACTCCCATACATACTACCATACTCTACTCCCATAAATAGTTACTCTACTCCCATACTCTACTCACATAAAGAGTTACTCTACTCACATAAAGAGTTACTCTACTCCCATACTCTACTCCCATAAAGAGTTACTCTACTCACATAAAGAGTTACTCTACTCCCATACTCTACTTTAAAATTCAGTATGATATATTTTACCCCTGCAGTCTGGCCCTGGATGGAACAGCACAGATCTGAGGAGTCCAGGTACCCAGAAGCCTGGAAGTCATAATGATGATGCTAAACTAGCACTCTTTGATGGGCAGTGTGTAAGAGCTGATGTAACAGTGATTTGTTCATCTTAGGCAAGACTCACGTATGATGAACATGACCACATTCCCAGTTAGAGAAGAGTAAGCTAAGGCTCAGAGAGTGAAGGGCTTTGCTCAAAGTGACCCGCTTGCAGGCACCATTTGCACAGGCTGAGGCAGAAAGCTGGGGAGTGATGGGAGTCGCTGTGTCCCAATGCTTCACCAGTTCTGTAGTTACTCGGGGACAGGTGGGTGACACAGGCAAACAAGACCATTGAACCGTGATTGACTGTGAGGGCCACAAACAGGAGTTAAAGAGAGAGAATAGTGTGTGAAGAGGGGAGGGTGGGGAAGGGCTATACCGCACCCTCTAGACCAGCGGTTCTCAACCTGTGGGTCATGACCCCTTTGGGGGGTCAAATGACCCTTTCGGCGGGGTCACCTAAGACTATCAGAAAACATATTTCCGATGGCCTTAGGAACCGAGACACCACTCCTCTCTGTCTCCAGGTGAGTCCGCCCACATGCAGATACGCCCACATAAGAAAGACTTGAAGACTGTTACCCATGTTATACCACGCTTCAAGACAAAATTTCATTTATTTGTCATTAGGAATAAATATTTCACAAAAGATGACATACTGTTTTTGTGATTCATCACTATGCTTTCATGATGTTCAATTTGTAACAATGAAAATACATCCTGCATATCAGATAGTTACATGACAATTCATAGTAGTAACAAAATTACAGTGATGAAATAGCAACAAAAATACTTTTATGGTTGAGGTTCACTACAACATGAGGCACTGTATTAGAGGGTCGCAGCACTAGGAAGGTTGAGAACCACTGCTCTAGACTGTGTGGTCAGAGCAGGCCCCAAGGTTGATACTCAAAGATGGAAGGTGCCAGAGCTGGGGGCCAGAGGGAATAGCATATGCAAAGGTCCTGGGACAGACAAGCCCATGGGCTCAATGGCTAGAGTCATGTGAGCTAGGAATAGAGGGGAAGGGGTGAGGCTGGGCAACGAGGCAGGGCCCAGTTCTGCAGGGGCCTAGTCACCTGGGAGGGAGTTTGAATTTTGTTCTCTGCACCAAGAAGCCACTGAGCGGGCTGGGAGCTGTGGGGCGCTATCATCCGATGCACTTTATAAAAGTGCCCTCCCACTGCTGGATGGAGGACCGATTGCTGTGCGGGTGCCCTTGTGCTTCCTGTGTCTGCTTCCCCACCCGCTGGCATGGCCCTCCGCCTGGCTTCATCTCTCCAGGACCTAGCACAGGCTGTGGTAGGCTGTAAGTACGCAGTGAGCGTTCACAGAATCCCAGGGATCTGGGGACGAGGTCTCCCGGGCTCAGAACTTTGTCCTTCTGCCACCTTTTTCAGTGCATGCTTTCTGTGCATGGTGGTTGTCATGTGATCCTAGAAGCCATATATACTTGTCATAAAACACTTAAATGTTGTAGGGATGTGTGCGTTATGGAGTGACGGTCCCTCATCACGCTATTCCCCAAAGCAACCGCCAAGAGCAGCATCTTCTGTTTCCTTCTTCCTTCCCTTGCAAGGGTTAGGTTTCACCCAGGACGTGCATTTTCCACGTGACGTGCATCGGGCTTCCTCCCATGGCAGCGCTAGAAACCCGCTGCTGATGTTTTCC